AGCTTGAGGTTAGGGCCTAGAGTTGTATTTAGCAATTTCTAATTCTTCTTGGAATGCTTTTTTATTTTTTCTTCTTGTTTTCTTCTTCTTCTTATTTTTTAATTGTGAAACAGCCGTGCTGAGTGTGGCTCAGTTGGTTGGAGTGTCGTCCCATAGCTGAAGGGTCACCAGTTTGATTCCCAATCAGGGCACATGCCCAGGTTGCAGTCTCAATCCCCCGATGAGGCCCCTGTGAGAGGCAGCCCCTGCGGAGGCAGCCCATTGGTGTTTCTCTCTCACACTGATGTTTCTCTCTCCCTTTCCCAATCCCACCTTTCTCTTACAAGAACAAAATAAAACTTAAAAAATAAATTGTGGCCCTGGCCAGTGTGGCTCAGTTGTTTGGAGCATCATCCTGTAACTGAAAGGTGGTGGGTTTGATTCCTGGTCAGGACACGTACCTAGGTTGTGGGTTCGATCTCCAGTCTGATGCGTAAGGAGGCAAGGCAACCAATCAATGTTTCTTTCTCACATTGAGTTTCTTTCCCTTCTTCTCTCTCTCTAAAAGCAATGAAAAAAGGTCCTTGGGTGAGGATTAATAAATAAATAAATAAGTAAGTAAACAAGATTCTTAAAAAAAAAAAATAGCCCTGATTGAGTGCCAGCCTTTGAACTGAAAGGCTGCTGGTTCAGTTCCCAGTCAGGGCACATGCCTGGGTTGCAAGCCAGGTCCCCAGTTGCGGGCGTGCAAGAGGAAACTGATTAAGGCTTCTCTCATACATCCATGTTTCTTTCCCTGTCTTTCTCCCTCCTCCCCCCAAAATAAATAAATAAAATAAATTGTGAAACATATGATACATCATATCATATGTATACAGTATGGAACATATGATACGGTATATAAGTACGCTTATGCATGGTATACAGCAGGGGTCCCCAACTATTGGGCTGCGGATCAGTACTGGTCCATGGCCTGTTAGGAACTAGGCCACTCAGCAGGAGGTGAGCGGCAGGCCAGTGAACAAAGCATTACTGCCTGAAATCCTCCCCCTGTTTCATTCCCACCCTCTCCCCAATGAAACAGATCCCTGGTGCCAAAAAGGTTGAGGGACACTGACATATAGTATCTAAGTACCTTTTAAAGAATAATATTAAAAGAAACACCCATGATCCACTACTCAGATTAAGAAATAGATCATTACCAGCTCTTTAGAAGCCCCCATGTGATACACATTATCTCTTTGCTTCCTCCTTCCCTCCTTTCCCTGTCTTTTTTCCCATTTCCTCTCCTCCTTTTTTACAGCCTTTCCTCCACTCTGTTCCTTTTAAAGAATTTCTTTTTTTTTCTTTCTGCACTCTGCCATTTTATAACTATGAAACCTAGAACAAGATACTTAATTCTATGGACTTTAGCATTCTTATTTGTAACATGGGAATAATAATGTAACAGTGGAAAATTGTAACCCACCTCACCATTCTTTTGACATTGTTTCTGTAAGTGCTGACTCTAATATGTAGCTTGTAGATGAACAGCACATACGTATAAGAATCCTAGAAGCTAGTTTCAAAAGATATAGACTCCAACCTTCAAGCATCCCAGTTTCCAGAGATTTGCTAACCTTTATCCATGAAGCCAGGATGACGAGAATCCAGGATGACTAAACCAGGATGATTCACACTGGACTAACACTTGCCTTATCAGAATGGACTGTGCTCGTCTGCACGTAGAGAATTTTGCAACCCCCTCCCTTGATCTCTTTGTTCTATTCCCCTCTCCCTCCTTATAAAAAACCTCTGCCTCCACTGAGATGTGGAAATGGGCTTTGAGACGTGAGTCCCTCATTTTCCCAGGAGATGGGCTTTGTGACATAAGTCTCTCATCTCCCAGGTGGCCAGCACCTGAAAATAAGCCACTTTCCTTTACATCAGCACCCACCTCTTGAGCGTTGGCTTTTGTAGTGGCAGGCAGCTGGACCTGCTTTTGGTTATAATAAGAGCAATATCTACCTTGCTGGCTTGTTGTGAGATTTAATGAGATAATGTTTGTCTAAGAGTTAAAGTGAGATAATTCATGTAAAAGTTTAGTACAAACCTTGGCATATAGTTGCAAGTCAATAAATAGGGGCTGTTTATATTTTTATTATTTTATTATTTTTTAAAAGATTTAATTTATTTCTTTTTTAGAGAGAGGTGAAGGGAGGGAGAAAGAGGGAAACATCAATGTGTGGTTGCTTCTCACGCGTCCTATACTGGGGACCTGGCCCATAACCCAGGCATGTGCTCTAACTGGGAATCAAACTGTCAACCCTTTGGTTTGCAGGCCAGCACTCAATCCACTGAGCCACACCAGCCAGGGCCTAATATTTTATTTTATTATTTTTATTTTTTCTAGAATTAAATGTATTTACTTATTTATTTAATTGTATTTTTTCCATTACCACTTTTTAAAATCCTCACCCAAGGACAATTTCTAATTGCTTTTAGAGAGAGAGGGAGGGAGGGAAAGAAATATCAATGTGAGAGAAAAGCATTGACTGCTTGCCTCCCAGACTCACCCTGGCAGAACTTGCAACCCAGGTATGTTCCCTGACCAGGAATCTAACCCTCAGCCCTTCTGTTATGGGATGATGTTCCAACCACCTGAGCCACACTGGCCAGGGCCTCCATTACCATTTATCCTCCCTATACTCTCTTTTACTTCCACTCAACCCTCCCCCCATTTATTATTTTAAAACCATTTCTTCTCTGATAGAACTCCATGGTATGATGGAAATAGGCATGAACTTTGGAGACATGGGTTCAAATTGTGGCTCTATTTTATACCAGCAGTGGCTTAATGCAAGAGTCACTAAAGGTCTCCATCTATAACACAGAGGTGATGACACTAGGATCACACAGGGTTTTTTCACTGTCTTAAAAATTCTCTGTGCTCTGTCATTCATCCCATCTCCCCCACTTACCTCTGGCAACTACTGATCTTTTTACTTTTCCAGAATGTCACATAGTTGGAATCATACAGTATGTAGTCTTTTCATTTTGGCTTCTTTCACTGAGGAAAATGCGTTGAAGTTTCCTCCATGTCTTCTTATGGCTTAATAGCTCATTTCATTTTTAGTGCTAAATAATATTCTGTTGTCTAGATATACCAGCTTATTTATCCATTCACCTACTGAGGAACATCTTATTTCCATGTTTTAGCAATTGTGAATAAACATCTGTGTGCCTTTTTTTTTTTTTGCACATTCAGCTCCCTGAAGTAGGTACCAAGGAGCACAGTTGCTGGATTATATGGTAAGGGACTGTTTAGTTTTTGTAAGAAACTCAAACTGTCTTCCAAAGTGGTTGTACATTTTGCATTTCCACCAGCAATGAATGAGATGTTGTTTTTTCAGAGAGTGGGGAAATGGAGGAGAGGGAGAGAAATATCGGTGTGAGAGAGAAACATTGATTGGCTGCTTTTCATGCACGGCCCTATTGAGGACTGAACCTGCAACCCAGGCATGTGCCCTGACTAGAATCGAACTGGTGACTTTTTGTTTGCAGGATGACTCCCAACCAACTGAACCACATGGGCCAGGGCTGAATGAGAGTTCTTGTTTCTCCACAGCCTTGCTAGCAGTTGATGTTGTCAGTGTTCTGGATTTTGGCCATTTTAATAGGTATTTAGTGGTATATTTATTTTTGTTTTTGGTTACTATATTACTCAAGTTGTTTGTATTGACCATATGTTATTTTGTAATAGAAAAAATGTATTATAAAGTAGAAAGCTATAAAGTCCATGTACTAGCAGGGAGTGGGAGGGATGGTGGAGAAACATTAGATAAATAAAAACATAATACAAAGTAGTGATACTATCAGAACAGCTATGATTTTAAACATTGTAAAAAATTTTGTGTGACAATTATATCCAGTTTAGCTTTTCATTCCTTGAGGGAAAGATTGGCTACACCCAAAATGTGTTGTTTGTAGACCAGTGCTTGCCAAAAGCATCTTGAAATCATCTCTATTATCTTGTTATTGAAAAACAAAAATTATATACAATTATAAACAATTTGATAACTTAAAAGGACAAAATGTAAGAATCTTAAACAAGTCATAAAAGCATTATTTGCCCTGACTGGTGTGCTTCAGTTGGTTGGGCATCGTCCTATTAACCCAAAGGTCGCCAGATAGAGATTCCCAGTCAGGGCACGTGCCTGAGGTCCAGGTTCAGTCCCTGGTCGGGTGCAACGGGTGGATGTTTCTCACATGGATGTTTCTTTCTCTTTCTTTCTCCCTTCCCGTCTCAAAATCTCTCTAAAAATAAACAAATAAAATCATAAAAGCATCATTTCACTACCTACAATGCCATCGTTAAAGAAAAAGTTTTAACTTCCACGACTGAAAGTGTTTATCAAAGTCAAGGGTTTATTAGGCTATGTCTAGCAAAAAAAAAAAAAAAAAAAAAAAAAAAACCCAAAAAAGAAAAGACCTGTTTGGAGCATAGCGTCTAAACCCAGCAGCTTGGCTAGATAGGAAAGACAACAGGTCATCTCAGTTTTGCAAGCCTTTTAATTCATCAAGTAGGGGGAGAAAGATGTAATTCGTTCTGAAAGGATTCACTAGACACAAGCATCACTTGGCTATTCAGTGGCACAGGATGCGCCCACAAACTACACTCTCTCTTTCGTCCGATCACATCACCCCAAAGGTGCAGAACACACCCTCTCTGCCTTCTTTCTTGCTCCTACTCCCCCTCCTCCCAAGCCTCCCAGTGCACCTTCCCCAGTCACTTATTCCTTTCGGTCACGCGCGGAGATCGTGGCTTTTTTTCCCCTCCCTTTCCTGTTTCTAACTTTCCCGCCCTAGTAGCTCTTGGCCAATAGGAAAAGTAATCGCCTCTTCGTTCCCGGCCTCTTGGTGACGTTAGGAGAAACGAGATTTCTGATTGGTCTTTCCAGAGCAAGAGCTCACCAATAACAGGCAAATTTTTTTGGTGCAGGCGCGCAGCTAGTATTGTCGCTGGTGATTGGCTGGAGTGGCTGAGACAGAAAAATGGCAGTGAGTCCCTCTGTAGTCCCTGTGGCCCTGACGGCTTCGGTGGTACCAGTCTTGTCAGCGAGTGGCGATTTCTCAAACTTGCGGGAAATTAAAAAGCAGCTGCTACTTATCGCCGGCCTTACCAGGGAGCGGGGCCTACTGCACAGTAGCAAATGGTAAGATGTCGGGGTGGGAAGGGACCCGGCTTAATCCTTGGCCTTGGGGGGCTTGTGAAGCTGATTTCGGTTTGCCGGGGTGTTCCAGGTCCGCCGAGTTAGCCTTCTCCCTCCCGGCGTTGCCTCTGGCCGAGCTTCAGCCGCCTCCGCCTATTACAGAGGTAAGGACTTCACAGCCAGCGCTCCCCATCAACTGAAGAGGGAGCTGTCCCTGGCGGGGCGGGAGTGGGGGGAGTAGACTACTTAGCAGGAATGTTTTTAGAGGGAATTCAAGCATTTAAAGAGCTGGGTGGTTGTGATGAGCTTTGGAGGACCTGGTGGTGCTTTTACTTAAGCTGGAGAGAGTAAGTAAACAATCCTTGCTTAAGATTTCACCCTTTTAAGTTTTGTAGCCCATCTTAGACAATACTCAAAATGATGAGCAAAATTGAAGATTTTTACAACAGTACGAAACTGGCTTTGGTTTCCAACAGCTATGTGTTCAAATCTCAGCCACACTAGTGACTTTCAGCAGGTTAACCTCCTGAACCAAAGTTTCCTCATCTGTGAAATGAGGATAATAGTATTTACTTTATGGGGATATTGGGAGAATCAAATGTGTCATCTACAGTACATATGTTTACATAGTTTGTGTAGTCTGAATGCTTTTATCATAATCCATTTCGTTACATGATTCCAACAGCCCCACCCCCCACTTAAAAACAATGACTATTTACCCCAAAAGGTGTAATGTAGGTGAGAGGGGGTTAGAGGAAGAAATAAGCAAACGGCAAGTGGATGTGAAAAGCACCACCAGAATCCTAAGCTGAATAGCCACATTTAAGAAATGTTTATCCAGTGAAGAATACACCGAATATATTTTGGTTCCTGTTTTGGGGCGAGAAGAATGAAGAGAATGAAATTATTAAAGTTTTAATCATCTTATTCCTAGAATTTGGTTGGGGAGGGTTGTATGTTTTTAACTTAAATATGCATCATTTCATTTTTTTTTTACATAGAGAATTATAGCAGTATTCTATGGTTTTTGCAATACTAACATGTCAAAACTTTATTGATTTTTAAAGAGAGAGAAAGTGAGAGAGAGAAACATTGATTTGTTGTTCCACTTATTTAAGCATTCATTGCTTGATTCTTGTATGTGCCCTGACCAGGGATCAAACCCGCAATGTTGGCCAAGTTAGGCGTATCCCAACGATGCTCTAACCAACTGAGCTACCTGGCCAGGGCTTTTCAAAATGTTCTTGAGGTACAAAAGGTATAAGTAATTCCACAGTATATTGCATTTATGTAGGGATTTAAAAGCCTAGAGAAGGAAGGGAATGTCAAAAATTAATGCCAGACATTTTCCATAACATTTTTACTCTTTTCCTCATGTCAAATCTATATTATTGGCTCCATTTTACAGATGAAGACCTGAATACTGAGAGAAGCTACGTAGCTTCCTTACTAATGTCATGAAACCAACAAGTCAAAGAGTTAAAATTTTACTACAGGTCCCTAATACTAAAGCTTATATGCAACTTCCACTACATTTGCAGAAACAATACGAATTTCTGAGTGTGTTGGTTTAATCTTGTAAAAATTTTTATTTTGGTAAAATGGAGACAAATGTATTTGAATAATAAAAAAATTTTTAAATGTTTATATTTTTCCCCCAGTTTTTTTATTTTTGGGGGAAAGAAGTTCTCTGACCTTGTTTCATAATAAAAAATATATATATATTTGACATTTATTTCAGGTTTTTGGGGAGGAGGAGGAGGAAAAATTACTTTTTCTTACATCTTGAAATTAATGAATATACATCATGGATTTGAACTTTTATTGTCCTATTCCCAACCTCTTACAAAAACTTGTCTTTTTTTAGGAGGATGCCCAGGATATGGATGCTTACACCCTGGCCAAGGCCTACTTTGATGTTAAAGAGTATGATCGGGCAGCACATTTCCTGCATGGCTGCAATAGCAAGAAAGCCTACTTCTTGTACATGTATTCTAGATATCTGGTGAGGGCTATTTTTATAGGCCTTCGTTTGAAAGACAAATGGATAGCTCTTGTTTGGTAGTTGCTATAGGATTTGCATCCAGTTGTATGAGAACATGTTATTCCTTCTTCAGTGAAGCATCCATATTTAGAACCAAGTGGAAAGATTTAAATCTTTCCACTTAAATAGCTTAGCAGTAGTCTAGTTGGTGAATGTACTTTATAAATACTTGTAAATAATAAATAAAATGTTTAAAATATAATATTCATTACTGACAAAGGTGTGGGGCGGTAGACCCCATTTTAGGAGTTTTGGAAGTCAATTTTGGCAGATTATGTTACTTTGAGATACTATGACCAAACAATTCTTCTTTAAGTAACTTGTCCAGTGCAAATACCTCAATATGTGCACAAGGTTACATGTACAGGTCTGTTCACTGAAGTATTTTTTGTAATACCCCAAAATGTCAACAACCTAAATATCCATTAGACAAGAAATTCAATGTTATTTCTTGCCTAAAGTATTTTTTACTATGATGTTGCAAAATGATGATTTTCCCCTCTAGCATTCTCCATATGTACTATTTATCACTTGGCATTCTACTCTAAGAAAGAGCCTTTCCTCCCCTTTCCATTTACCTATCTATTATCACTGTGGGCTCAAGGATTCTTTTATTTTTAATTGTTTATAATTCATTACTGTACTTAATTATTTTGGTACTCAAATTATGCCAGATTTGATTAGTGGGAGCCCCTGAATAGTTTCTTAAAATTACTTGACCAATAGTTGATGCCATTTTGGTTAGTCTTCAGTCCTTTAGGTATTAGAATCAGGCTGCTCATTTTAGAACAGGTTCAGAATAAATTGGTAAAAAGACCTATGTGTGGATTTTCTCTTACAGTCTGGAGAAAAGAAGAAGGATGATGAAACAGTTGATAGCCTAGGTATGAATTTCTCTTTCTTACCTTTTAGATAAACCAAGGGTTGCAGACACAAATGGCTATAGGAGCGAGGCAGATAGAACAAATGTATTAAGTAATTTAAGGAGAGCTGTTGCGAATTAGATAGCATGACTGGCTGATTGTCACCCAGCTCCAGCTGAGGGCTGCCTTGTGGCCTGGTATTGTCAGGGCTTTCTTCCCTTGGTCCTACCCCATTCACTGCAACCTGAAGCTGGAAAGTCAGATTTTTAGTTGAGGCTTCTGATTTTTAAATGTTGATACTAGTTCAAAAATTTAAACACTTTTGTGGTCCTAACAACCTATGACTGCAGACCAGTTATCAGTTGTGATTTTTGGAAAAAAATAAATTGTGTAAGATATCATTGGCCACTTGTGAGTGCTTGCTGTAAGTTTCAGGTGTAGCTGCTTGATGCCAAAGGGAATATCTTTGTCTATAAAATGAAGACCAGCAGTGTTCTCTTAGATCAGAGACTCTGTTTCTTTCCTAGGTCCTCTGGAAAAAGGACAAGTAAAAAATGAGGCTCTCAGGGAATTGAGAGTAGAGCTCAGCAAAAAGCACCAGGCTCGGGAACTTGATGGATTTGGCCTTTATCTGTAAGTGTTCAAGTACTTTGGAATTTCCTATAATATTCTCCTGAGTAGAAGAGATGTTACAGAGCATTAACTTCTGTGGTTGTTTCCTTCTTTGCTAGGTATGGTGTTGTGCTTCGAAAACTGGATTTGGTGAAAGAGGCTATTGATGTATTTGTGGAGGCTACTCATGTTTTGCCTTTACATTGGGGAGCCTGGCTAGAACTCTGTAACTTGATTACAGACAAAGAGATGGTAAATTGAGATGAGATATGTGAAAAACCCTGTGCTTCAAGTCTTATGTAATTCTGTAATAATGGGGTGGGGGGAGAGAGGTTTGCTAAGCCTTTGACTATAGCTAGCTCTTTGCTTCTTCTCTGGTCTCTTCCACTGTTGGGATTTTGGTCTTCAGGTCTTCGTTTGAAAGACAAATGGATAGCTCTTGTTTGGTAGTTGCTGTAGGATTTGCATCCAGTTGTACGAGAATATCTTTTCATGTTCATATTTTCACATTCAAGTTTTCCTGCAACTTGTTTTTATAGACTAAATGCTGTTACAGCCTCTCTCCTAATTCCAAAGATGCTATAGGAAAGGTCCCTCTGAAATCAAGGATTATATTTAAAATATTTTAAGTCTCTGCTGAGCTCCTGGGACTCTGAAGATACAGAGATTTGTCGATTAATGAAATAATGTATATTAAATTGCTTTATAAACTGCAATCATTTTGTTAGTCATCATTAGAGGATATTGTCTACAGAGTGTATTTTGCTGTTCTTTAGTAGTTAATGGAAATGGCAACACATTTCCATTTGCCTGCTCTAAAGAGCCAAAGGCTGATGGATTCCCCCCAGTAATGATAAATGCTACTAAATCTGTGTCTGAAATCTTAGCCTTGGTTTACTATATTCACCTATCTCTAACTGCCTGCTAGACTTTATCTCTGAATACACAAAATCAAATTTCTCATCTTACCTACCAAATTTCTTTTTCTCCCAACTCTATAGACTCATTAGCGGCACTATTTCTCAAGACATCCAGTATTAATGTCTCAGAATCATATTTGTCTCCTCCCTTTCTCTTATTTCCTTTACCTATTTAGTCACCAGACATTGCCGTGATTTCTTTTTTGTATGCATCTCTTTCTTTTGGCCTCCTTTGCCATCTTGGTTATCATCTCCAATTTGGATTTCTTCTAAGTAATAGATATACTTTTATCTAGCTTTCCCATCTTTACACACCCATTTCCAAGCCATCTTGCATACTGTTTCCAAACTTACTTTTTTTATTTTTTAAAGATTTTTTTAATCTATTTATTTTTAGAGCAAGGGGAAGGGAGGGAGAAAGAAAAGGAGAGAAACATCTATGTGTGGGTGCCTCTCATGCACCCCACATGTGCCCCAAATGGGGATAGAACCTTTGGTTCGCAGGCCACTGCTGAATCCACTGAGCCAGGCCAGCCGGGACTCCAAACTTATTCTTAAAACACGCATGTCATCCTGTCATTCTCTTGCAAAAAACTGCAGTGGTTTCCTATAATTGCATCCCATTTCTTGTTGCACCATAGGACCCACCCTACCAGTTCAGTCTTATTTTTCCACTACTTCCCAGCACAAAGCTTCCTCTCAAACAAGCTTGTTTGCCCAACTTCTTTAACCACACTCATCATGACTGTTTTCCCTCTTCTTATGTTGCCCTTGCGTAAAACATTGTCTTTTTTTCTCTCCTACTCCCTTTTTTCTATTCAAATTTATCCGTCCTCCAAGAAACTTCAAATCCTATCTATCTTTTGAAGCCTTCCCCAACTAGGTTGTGCTTGTAAACCCTATTATAATTGAACTGCGCTGTGTTCATTATTAAGTGCTGTAATAAAATTTTGGTGGTAAAATTCTTTAGACCAGCGATTTTCAACTGGCATCTTTTGTGCCTTTTTCATCTCATGGCATACATAAACTAATTACTAAAATTTTGCAGCACACCAAAAATATATTTTTTGCCAATCTGACAAAAAAAAATAGGTATAATTTTGATTCATTCATGCTGTGTGGCTATTGTTGTATTGGCTGTTTTTTGTTTGTTTGTTTGTTTTTTAATTTGACAACCTAAGGGAAAAGAGGTCAGTGCCCCTGACTAAATAGTCAGGTATCACATGATTTAAAAATTCTCATGGCACACCGGTTGAAAATCACTGCTGTAGGCAATAAAAATAGTCCATTGATGTTCATTTGGAGAGAGGTCAAAGTATATTAAGTGTGTCCCTCTCTCTCCTGCTGCCAGCTGAAGTTCCTGTCTTTGCCAGACACCTGGATGAAAGAGTTTTTTCTGGCTCATATATACACAGAGTTGCAGTTGATAGAGGAGGCCCTGCAAAAGTATCAGAATCTCATTGATGTAGGCTTCTCTAAGAGCTCATATATTGTTTCCCAAATTGCAGTTGCCTATCACAATATCAGAGGTAAGTGAGTAAGGACAATGAAATCCATCAAACCCTGAAAGTAGCATTGTGGTGTTTTCTGAACTATCTTCTTTCTGCAGATATTGACAAAGCCCTCTCTATTTTTAATGAGCTAAGGAAACAAGACCCTTACAGGATTGAGAATATGGACACATTCTCCAACCTTCTTTATGTCAGGGTGAGCTGCTGCTTTTACTTGGATTTAATTAAGCTCTTTTGTGCTTTCATCTGGTTTGGATTGTCACCCAATTGCATCAGCTACAAGAAAAATAATTTAGGGGGTTCCTTTTTCATGCTTAGACCCGTCCTTTTCTTTTCTTCCAGAGCATGAAATCTGAGTTGAGTTACTTGGCTCACAACCTCTGTGAGATTGATAAATACCGTGTAGAAACGTGCTGTGTAATTGGTAAGAGTCATTATTCTTTTTCTTTTAAGTTTTACGTTTATTGTAAGTAATTCAAAAGTAAAAATAACAATATAAAAGTGTCAAAGGTAACAAAATTATATACAGTAGAATGTGAAAGCTCACTGTAATCCCATTCCCAAGATTGTTTGGTAAACATGGCTCCAGAATATTTTTCTGTGTGAATACTAAAAATGAGTGTGTGTACAGTTTGCTTGCAAAAACTGTATCATTATACACACTGCTTTGTAACTTTTTTAAACATATCTTTTCCATTTTTTTATTTTTGTACATTTAGATTTTTATTATTTTTTATGGTTATTTAGTATTTTATTATAAAGATGTGCCATCATTTGAATTTAATCATTTTCTGTTATATAAGTTATGACCAGCATTTGTTAATACAAAAATTGCATCAGGAAACATCCTTGTATATGTACATTTATTTTTGCTTGTTTATGCAGTTATTTTTGTGTAATAAGCAGTGAAATACTGAATCAAAAGTGTGTATTTTTTAAACTTTAGTATTACTAAAAAGTTTGTAAGAACTTCCAATCAAACCTATGAAAAGAGATGAGAGTACCTGTTTTTCTGTTTTAGGGTGTCTGAATTTGGCACTAATGACATTTTGGGCTAGCGGTCTTTTTGTGTATGGGGCTGTTCTGTGCTTCGTAGGGTGTTAGCAGTATCCCTAGCCTCTACCCATAGCTCCCTTCCCCCAGTTATGATGATCAGAAGTGTTTGCAGGTATTGTCAAATAACCTCTTAAGGTCATCCCTGGTCAGGAATCATGGTCCCATGTACTTGGCCATGCAAGTGTGGCCTGATAATCAGTTGATATAAAGAGATGAATGGTCACTCCTGGACAAAAGTAAATTTGGTTGGTTGTGATTGAAAGCACAGGTTCCCTGAAGGTGAAACAGATAAACATGTCCCTGGATCTTTGGTGAGATTGCATCAAGATCATGCATTTGTACCTATCAAGATGAGGATGTTGTTAATAAACTGATAGAATTTCAATTCATTAATTATTCAATAAATATTTCCAGCCCTTGTGGAAGTTGTAGTCTGGCATGGGAAATAAGTATTTAAAAAAACATAGTAAGTCCTATGGGAACATAGGTAAGAGTAGGAACAAGTCATCTTTTCAATATCAGAACATTATGAATCAAGTCCATTAAGGTGAGGGTGGAACTCTCAATTTATTCAGAAAACATTTTCATGCATCTTCTGAGTGTGAGGCACTATGCTTTTTATTGCAATACCTACCCTGATTACCTAATTTAGGAAGGCCAGTAATAAAACAACTGTAATACATGGGCTGAGTGTTATGATTGAGGCAAACATAGGATGCAGAGAGTACAAAGTAAATGTGTTGAATCCAGTCTGAGATTAGAGAAAATGATGCTTAAAGAATAGGCAGGAGTGAAAGGGTTCAGTGAGGGAGAAGGATTGACTTGGGAAGGGCATCGTAGTGCAGAGGCATTGAAGTGTGGAACATTGTGCTGGAAATAGTCCAACATCCTGAAGTATGTGGTGTGGGAGGTGGGAATGCAAAAAGGGGCTAGATCTTGAAGAGCCTTTTCTGTCTGGCTAAAAGTTTGGATTGTATTCTTAGGCAGTAAGAGTCTCCTGAAGGATTTTAAAACAGTGATAAAAGTTTTCAGATTTTCATTTTCAAATGATGATTGGAGACATTGTCCTGGGAGGATTAGAAAAAGGGCAAGACTAGAGGCATGGAGACCAGGTAGGAGGCTTCTACAATAATCCAGTCTAGGGATGATGAGAACCTAAGATGAGGATGTCTTGGCAGGAGGAATGGAGAGAGGAATTTAGGAAATAGAACACACAGGAATTGGTGCCTGAGTGGCCAGATTGATAACAGTGCCCTTTACATGAAGAAAGAAAATAGAGGTAGGGAAAAATAATGAACAGTTCTTTTTTTAATACTTATTTACTTAAAGCCAATTAAAATCAAAGGAGACATACATGTGAATAGTTAGGAGTTTTTTGGGGTTTTTTTTTAAATAATCACTTCAGGTGAACTCTTCGATGAACTGTGTTTTTTTGCCTCAGCATATCTGTAATGCCCACCAAAGTTACTGAGATATGGTCAATAAATGCTTGTTGAATTCAGCCCACCTACAATAAAATTTAAGAATAAGGAACATTAGATGTGACAGAATATACTTCAGCTTTCACATTATAACCAGTTCAGAGGAAGTGAAAGGAGAAAGAAGGGTAGAAAAAAAGAAACCGAAGACCTGAGAGAGAATGCAACAACTTAAGGATGGAGTGATGGCAAGAATTTCCTACTTGTTTAGTCACTGCTTCTGCTTATATGTCTTGATGTGAATTGATTGCTTCCTTCTGCATCTTTTCTGGAGTTCCAGTCTCAGAGAAACTGTATGTACACATCAGCATATATTGCAGTATAACATAGTTTAAATTAGAACACTGGAACCAGACTGCCCAAATTTAAATCTGAGTTCTGCTGCTAACTAGCTGTGTGACCTTGGCCTTAAGCTTTCTGTGCTGTAGCTTCCTCATCCAAAAAGGGATAATAATGGAAACTTCTCTCATATAGTTGCTGACAGATTTAATAAATTGATACATACAAAGCCCTTAAAACAATGTAAGTAGCCCTGTCTGGTATGGTTCAGTGGGTTGAGTGCCAGCCTGAGAACTAAAAGGTCCCAGGTTTGATTCCTGTTCAGGGCATATGCCTGAGTTGCTGGCCAGGTCACTGGTTGGGGGCATGTGAGAGGCAACTGATGGACGTTTCTCACCCTCTCTTTCTCCCTCCTTTCCCTTCTCTAGAAATGAGTAAATAAAATCTTTTAAAAAAAACAGATAAAAACAGTATAAGTTGCCTAATGTATTATAATCATTCAGTACATTTTAGCTGTTCCAACTGGTCAAAAAAATCACATCTACTTAATCTTTATCCAGAACTTAACGGTTTTGACTTCTTAACATCTCCTTTGTCATCCTGACACTGTTAGCAGCTAGGGCTTATACCCTTGGTACCACTACCTCATTTTCTCCTGTTCTGTTACAAAAGTTAACCTTTGGACACTCGGCCTAAAGTCTCTGTCTCTGAGTCAGGGGCAGAAGCAAAGATATCCTTGTACAAGACATAAAGTTCTCCATTTTGATTTTTTACCAGGTGAATGTGAACTTGAATTTGTGCTTAAGCAATCAGGTATAGGGTGCAGACAATTGTTAAAAATGATTCCTAAATCAAACTAACAGCTGAATCTAGAGAGATTTAAATATATATATAGAAGTGTTTGTGTGTGTGTGTGTGTGTGTGTGTGTGTGTGTATGTGTGTGTATGTATGTTTTGTTGTTTTTTGCCAAAATGGAATCATGTTCTATAATTTCTCTGCAATTTGCTTTTTCTACTTGACAGCATGTCATGATCTGTGCAAGATTGTGTGTATGTGTGTGTGTGTATGTGTGTGTGTGTATCTAAACCTGTCTTTTTATATAGTTTATTTATGCACATGCAATTTATACATAAAGGAAATTTTTTGAAGTACAGAATTTTATTTTATTTTTTTTTGCTTGCTGCTCCCTTTCCCTTTGAAGATACATATGTTAGGATGTTCCATACCAAATGAAAATGTATATGCCCATATGCAGGGTTTAATGGGCTATTTGCTTTACAAAAAATAGATCACATTAGCCTTGGCTGGTGTGGCTTAGTTGGATGGAGTGTTGTCCTATAAACTGAAAGTTTGCTGGTTTGATTACTGGTCAGGACACATGCTTGGGTTGCGGTCCAGGTCCCCATTTGGGGCATGCAAGAGACAGCTGTTGATGTTTCTCTCCCTCTCTTTTTCCCTCTCCTCCCCTCTCTCTAAAAATAAATGAAATCTTACCAAAAAAATAGAAATACACATTTCTCTGCATTTTACTCTTTTCATTCAACAAGATCTCATAAAAAATTCCCCTAAGTGTTGGTATAGCTCTCATTCATCTTTTAAAAAATAATAGCTTTATTAAGATATAATTTACATAACATAAAATTCACCCGCTTGAACTTTGTAGTTCATGAGTTTTTATACATTTATACAGTTGTGTAACCATAGCCATAATCCAGTTAAGAATACTCTATCACCACAAAAAGTTTCTTTGCATCTATTTGCAGTCAGTTTCACTCCCACTTCCAAGCAGGCACAGATCTGCCTTCTGAATCTCTGTAGTTTTACCATTTCTAGGAATGTCTTATAAATGAAATCTTGCAGTATTTAGCCTTACTGTCTGGCATCTCACTTAGCACTTTTTTAGGTTCATCCATGTCATAACATGTATCAATAGTTATTCCCTTTTTATTGCTGACTAGTATTCCATTGTTTGGATATATATCATATTTTGTTTATCCATTTACCAGTTGACATAAGACAAGTGGCTTTTGTACCCTTTCTTCAAATAAAACCTTCCACAGAATCCTAGTGTCTTTGACTTGCTCTTTTTAAGACCAATGATAATATAAGTCCTTTGATTCCTGAGGGAGAGGGAGCTCCGAGCTCAACCTTTTCACCTCTGAGGTACCTGCTCAGAACCCTAGGGATATAGTTGGAAAACCACCAATCTGAAGCTTACTCTAGAAATTTCCTACCCTATAAGAAAATACCTGTGTAAAGACTATATCCAGATGAAATAAGATGAAGGAAAACTTGGAGTGTTAGGGAACACTTTTTTTGTTAACCAGAATGTGATAAGTGACATATACTTCCCAAGGGAATGATGATATTCCCCTTAGGTACAGTTTGGCTTTTTTGCAAGGACTTTAGGGGAATGGGTTATGCTTTCATGCTCACTGTGTGGAATGCCATCTATTTTAGAGGACTTGTATTTTTACCTTTCTAATTATACATATTTTTGTTTGTTTTTCAATCAGGCAATTATTACAGTTTGCGTTCCCAGCATGAGAAAGCAGCCTTGTATTTCCAGAGAGCCTTGAAATTGAACCCTCGGTATCTTGGGGCCTGGACACTGATGGGACATGAGTACATGGAAATGAAGAACACATCTGCTGCCATTCAGGCCTATAGGTGAGCTCCTAGTTGTGGGGTTAGGTGGAACAGATTGCCATGATGTTAGGAGCCTCTGCTGAGCCTGCAAGTTGCTAACCTTGATTCTACCCTCTTACCGGTCTCTTTTCCATTTCTTAGACATGCCATTGAGGTTAATAAACGGGACTACAGAGCCTGGTATGGCCTTGGGCAGACCTATGAGATTCTAAAGATGCCATTTTACTGCCTTTATTATTACAGACGTGCTCATCAGCTTCGGTAAGTCTGGCCACTTGACAATGTGTTTTTTTGTGGGAAGGACTGATGCATTTCTTTCTCTTTTAATGGCTACTAAGGGACTAACTGGTGGGTAGTGTATAGAGTATGGATATACTGGACAAGGGGTGACTCAGGTTCTGGATGGGAGAAAGCAAGATGGCCTGAGATTTCATCAGGCTACTGAGAATGGTGTGCAATTTAGAACTTAGGAATTTTTTATTTCTGGAATTTTCCATGTAACAGTTTCAGACTGCAGTAACTGAAATTGTGGAAAGTGGACCTGCGAATAAAGGGGGACCGCTGTAGTAGGGGTAGTGGTTTCTCAAGGGAGGGCTTTGAGCTCTCTATAAAGTCTTTGCTCAGACTGCTATTCCTATTTTCTCTCAGGCCCAATGATTCTCGTATGCTGGTTGCTTTAGGAGAATGTTATGAGAAACTCAATCAACTCGTGGAAGCCAAAAAGGTATCTGAAATTGAGTCCTAGAGAATTTGAATGGAAATTTGCTGTTTGGATGAAGGATTGGGCTATCTGTGCTCTTTAACTGTGCTTCATTCTGATATCTCTACATAAGGAAGTCTGAAACAGGTTTAAAAGCAAAGCTGGGGTGATATTACCAGTGGGAATGGCAGTATGTAGCCTGGACCTATCATATTGAATAAAAATGCCTTGCATGCTGCAAATCTGAAGTTCTGGGAGGCTTACAGGACCTGAGCCTTTTTGTGACTAGTCAAAGTGACTAGTTTATTATTTTGACAGTGCTATTGGAGAGCTTACGCTGTGGGAGATGTGGAGAAAATGGCTCTGGTGAAACTGGCAAAGTGAGTAAAACAGTATTGATATTTCTGTTGGCTTCTCTGATATGGTGGGTCCTGCATGCTCTAGAGCCTCCTATCATCCTGCATGAGGTAGTGCTGTAGCATGGTTTATGAGGACTGGTCTGGAAATTTAGCCATCTTGACTTGAGAGAATGCTACTACTCTTTGAAGGGGAAATTGCTTTCCTATTAGGCAAGAGATCAAGAATAAATTGAAAGAAATGAAATGAAATTTCCACATCAGAATAGTCTAAGAAAACTAAGTACTGATCTCCTCCTAATAAGGACTAACTTAGGAATGGTAGACAGACAGGTTCTTAAATGCAATTTTATTCCTGCCAGTGCTTTTTTGGTTTCTTAGGAAAAAATCTGAATTGTGTCGTATCTTTTTAAAATCTTACTCAGGGTATTAATAGCAAGTTTTTGCAAAGATATGTTACCCAGCTTAAGTATTTACTAACTCTCCCTTCCTTACCAGTAGCAGAGTAATGATTTTAAGCTTTGGTAAAATAACCCATCACATCTGGGCACTAATAACTATTCTGGGTCCCCTTGTGTCATTTGTCAAAATTTGTACTTGTCAATTTTTTGTCTTTTTGGTCTTAATCATGTGCTTTTACTTTTTATCATTAGTTTGGCTTTGAGACCTGACTTTTACTTAAAGACCAATTTCTTTTGTAGGCTTCATGAACAGTTGACTGAGTCAGAACAGGCTGCCCAATGTTACATCAAATATATCCAAGATATCTATTCCTGTGGGGTATGTGTCATGGCCATGACAACTGGGTTGCTGATCTTATTTATTATTATTTTTTTTAACTGACCAATTTGTTGTTCCTTAGTTATGCATTCATTGGTTGAGTCTTGTATGTGCCCTGACTGGGAATTGAACCCACAAACTTGGCGTATTGGGTCAACACTATAACCGATTGAGCTACAGGGCCAGGGCTCTGACCTCAGTCATTCCTGTTTTCCTTATCTAGGAAATAGTGGAACACTTGGAGGAGAGCACAGCTTTCCGCTATCTGGCCCAATACTATTTTAAGTGCAAACTGTGGGATGAAGCTTCAACTTGTGCCCAAAAGTGCTGCGCATTCAATGATGTGAGTATCACTTCTTTAATAATTTGGATTTTCAGCTTGAACATATGATCTTTATCATGATCTGAGGGTGGAAAGAGGATAAGAGGAATCAAAGGCTACCTTGATTTGTGGAACTTATATATGAGTACTTAAGAACCAGTTTTTGAGAATACCCTTGGACATATTTTGAAATAGTTGCTTGACTTTGTTTCAGACCCGGGAAGAAGGTAAGGCCTTGCTCCGGCAAATCCTGCAGCTTCGGAACCAAGGAGAGACTCCTTCCACCGAGATGCCTGCTCCCTTTTTCCTCCCTGCTTCACTGTCTGCTAACAACACTCCTACGCGCAGAGTTTCTCCACTTAACCTGTCTTCAGTCACACCATAGTTGGCTACTTTCAAGCTTGCACATTGCCAGACCAATATTAAGCCTTACCTCCATGTAAAAAAACATCCATGTCTTCTTGTAAGGACCTTAGTTCTTTGTGTGTGTACAGATGGAAACTCCTTGGGCATAGTTTATAGAATCACCTTCAGAGTAGACTGACAGAAGAATCCTGGCAGGAAAGACATTGTCTTTTACCAGTTAGAAGCACTTCTATCTTCCTTATGTTCAGAGAGTAGGTACAGATTTTGGCTTTCTTCCTGGTTTTCCCCACCCCTGCCCCCAAATTCTCTGTAATAGCACTTTAGCACCTGCAAGGTTACAGGAAAACGTTCTAATGCTGCTGGGAGTGGATGATTTCTTGAGAGGTAAGGAAGGGAGAAGTCTGTTGACTCTACCCTCTGCTGACAGTAGGGTCACTGGATACCCTAGCACGGTCAGGGCACTGGATGGACATGACCTTGTTGTTCTTGTGTTTGCTGAACATGACTATTCTGGTGTCAGAAATTAGGTCTAAATCAAGTTAAAGATGTACATTTATTCTTCCTCTAGGGAGACATTCTTCCAAAACATGGTTTTGAAGAGTCTCCTAGATTTCAAATTGGAGGTAACTGACTGGAGTTGAATAAAAGGGACAAAAGAATCTCACTGAGCATGAAGGGCCCCTACTGAGGGCAAAAGATGTCTTACAGAGTAGATATCCCTCACTTAAGTGAAATAAGGAGACAAGATTACAAGTAATTTTGTGGACATTTGGAAATAAACTCATTTCAAGCTGGTCTGTTTTAATATTTTTGTTATAATTGTCCTTTTTTTCCCCTCTATCTCCAACAGCCTTTTTCAGGTTTTAATATGCTTAGACAAGGCAAAGGGAATCATTGTTAGTGTGCTCCTGGAGGGTTTTAAGCCTGTGCATGTGTATTCAGCAGGAAGTAATATGCTATGACTATGTATGCTGTAATGAATTTATGTAGTAGATGAAACAGACTGAGTTCAGGACCCAGCCTTCCTATGTTCCTGTTTCCAGAACAAGTTTGTTGCCCCTTCACCTGCTAATACATGACACTTCATTTTATATTAAGGAAGGGTTAAAATATCTTAATGTCCCTTGGATTCATTTCTTACCAAGCATTCTTCGGTATCTACTGCCATTCCCATGCAAGGTTTCCATGGGCCTAAGTGACTGATTCTCAGTTTTTCTGCCTTTTTATAATTTGAATGATTTTGCTAAATTTGGGATTCGAATTAAAAAATGTAAAAAAATATGTGAACAATATATTTAATACAGCTTTTTGTGTATGCATAGAAACCATATAAGTAAAAAAGCATGAGATTACATAGCTGATTATATTACAAAAGTAGGGGGAAACTAGTGTCAGAATATTGCATTTTGTATCTGAGTTCCAGGTATATGGCAAAGCTTAAAAGACTTTCTTAAGCTGAGCAGCTGACCCACCTCAGGACAAGGACTGCTCTCTTCCTCTCCACAACCTCAGTATTTTTTGCCAAAAGGCCCAGATTTTAGTAAAGGGGAGCGCCGTGAGCGCAGGATCCGGACATAAGGGCTGCAGTCTGTTGAGCTTTGGTAGGTGGGTGTTCGGGGAAGTAAGTTTCGAAGAAATGGTTTCTTTCCTGGGGGCTGTTGGTTTGGTTGCTGGTTTTCCTGGTTGGCCCCAACACGCTTTTTGGTAGAAGAAGCCTGGCCTTGGAGTTTTAGCACAGTATGATACTGCTCTGCGATGCATGCTGCCTTCTTCCGAAGATCGAGTTTTACTAACATCATGTTATTCTGCAGTTCAGCCAGGGTCTGATCCTAAGGAAGAGCAAAAAAATTATAGAAAACATTTATGTCTGGTATATTAGAGAAACAAGACAAGGTATTATTATATGCCATCTACTACTAGTTACAACTGTTTTTATAAAGATCAACTCTTTAGGGTCAGACCTTATAAGTGAATGGAGGTGTTTTCTTTAAGACTCAAACAGCACTGGATAAAAGGCCATTTTCTAACACATAAGGTGACAGAAACTTGAATAAGTTTACTTAACCTCCTCAGTTCCTAGGTATTAAAATTAAGTGCTGTAAGTCTAAGATGTAATTTTTTTTTCATTTTAGTATCTCTAGAATCAGAATGCATTTTCTGATGATAAATGGCATAATTTGTTATTTGTCTTAGTGATACATAAAATAATGGTTTCTTAAAATCTAAGGATCTTGGATGAAATGTGATACTATCTCTCTCTCTAGGGTTATAACAGAGAAAATCCCATAAATTAGTATAGTACCTGCACTTAGTGAATGTTTCTTTTTATTTTGCAAGGAAGAGAAATTCCCCTCACTACAAGGATAACCTAAAAATCTTTATCTTCTTTACCTTTCTCTTTGGCTCCTCATTCTCTTCACATAATTCTGGAGTGGGCTGATGGGAGAGAAGGGCATATTTAGGCTGTCCTAACCTGTTTGATTAAGATGTCATCGCAAGTGGTCAAGGCTTGGCGAAGTTTTCCTGCCCCAGTGCTGTGGCAACAGGCTCTTTCTGCTGACTGAAGAGACTCACCCAGTTTTTGAAGCTCTGTCCGCAGCAACCTGATATTCTGAAAAAGGAGGAGGAGGAGTAACAAATTGTGGCCAAGATCAACCAGGAAAATTATCTGGAGGAGACAGCCATTTGAAGAGAAGTAAAATTAGGCTAGTAAACTGAAAAAAAGTAGCCACTCTCCAGGACAGTGCACAAAAAAACATCCTTACATGAACCAGGCATATAGTTTTGGAAACTACTTTAGGTAAGTTTGGTAACAGGTAATTACCTTCTGGCCCTCCTCTAACTTCTTGTCCACATCAGTGGTGAAGGGCTTAGCTGAGGGTGGTGGTTCTAACATTTTCTGATACTTATGCAGCTCTGAGGGAAGGAAACAAGAAACTTTAATGTGTAGCCTTTCTAACCTTGGACTTACCTCTGAGTTAACAGTAGCTTCCAACAAATATAAAAAGTCCATGTGCATCCTAGAGCAGATGGTCAGGGGACATAGCTCCAAGTTGGCGCCAGAAAGCTGAAGTTTGGAGAATAGTTCTTCCTTGAGCCACTGTTCGGTATCTTGCCCCTGCTCCTTCCTTACCTTCAGTGGTGGTGTTCAGCTCTGCTCTGCACTGGTCCAGTTTAGCTTTAACTTCCTGGAGCTGCTGGGTGGAGGCAGAAGCCGCCAACCTTTGGGACCGCCGTAAGGACAATTCAGACCCTGGTTGCTGATGGGCCATTGGCTGCTGTCTGGCTTCCTGCAAGAGGGCTTCTAGTTCTTGAATCTTTTCATCCCGCTCCTTAGAGGGAAGCAAAGAGCACAATTCCATCCACAGTTAAGACAAATACTGCAGGAGCAGATGACTGAATAATGAACAAAACCATCCCTGATACTTAAACCTCAAAAGCCTGTTAACACGCATATCATTTCCTGACCAACCAGATCTTTAATCAATTCATCAAACATCAATTGGGACAGCACTAAGGATATTAGAGAAAAGTGAGTTACGTATTCCCGCCCCTACCAAAGTTGATAAAATCTGTTTACCTCAAGCAAGCTAGTTATGGGAATCTGAGTAGCTAGTTGGGGCTGGTTCAGGGCAACTCACCTGAAGCTCTTCTTGGTAAAAAGTTGTCAGTGACTCCTTAAGAATCTTTAGTTTCTCCTCATACATTTCCTCTAATAGTTCCTTTTGAGTGTCCAAATGTTCACTGTCAGAAAGAGAAAAATGAAGTTCAGCGAAAATTCTGAGGAGTGAGCATGGAGGACAGATCTTGAGCCATGACACCATGCTAGTCCCAACTTCCCACCCACTGGTCCAGCTGACAGACGAAGAGGGGTCACTCAGCTGGTACCTGCACCACTGTTCACGCTGTTGCATCTGCTCCACCATCTCACTACAAATTTCATCACGGAGCTGCATCTCCAGCTGCAACTTTTCCTGCCGTTCTTTCAAAAGCAGTGCTTTCATGGCTTCTACCACCTGTAGGAGCTCCTATGGGGGACACAGGTCGGAGGTCATCAGATGGCCATGCCCCCTAAAAGGCACAACCTACCTGAAAGGTAGCATGGAAAATGTGTAGCCATTAAGCTGTTGCATCAAGTCTTTCTCACCTCCTTGCCATACATGGAGATGTCCACTTCATTTTCAACGTCATCATCAAGGCATGGGTCTGTCTTAGATCCTGTCTCTAAGCTGGGAGACACCCGCCGACTGTGTTCCTTGATGAATGAATGTAGCGATGGGAATCCTAGTTGTACAGGTGGAGCATGCACAAGCTAGCAGGGGGGAAAAAAATCTTAATTGAATCAATTACTAGTCCCTAGTAACTTGCTTAAATAAAGGTACCACTCCAAAGGTACCAGCTTCTCACCTGGCTGGCAATAGCTGAGAATTTGGCCACATGAAGGGTCTCATCATAGGTAGATGCACAGGGATTCACATTGACAATCATACAGGAGCGGCCTCGGCCTGTGAAGAAGCCTTGGAACACTCGAGTCAACTTGCTATCGCGGAAGGGAACCAGGTTCTGCTTTGACCTGCCCGGGAATCAGAAGAAGAGAGCTGTGAGCAGAACTTCAGCCCGTGGGGTTTTGTAGCACCATCCCCAGGGGTGACCAGAAGTTTCTTAGTAAACTGCAGAGCTCCAAGCCATCCCAGCCCATGGCTTGCAGTCAAAAGCTTACCGGTTCTGCTGGTTTTGGCGCAGGGCAGCAATACAGCGGCCCAAAGCATGCAGAGAAGTGTTAATATTTCCTGCTTCCTTCAGCCGCTCACCACTCTTTTGATCTTTGCAACGTTCTGAGCCAGCCAGATCACAGAGTGACAACCTTGAAAGATGGACAGGATCTGACATAAGGACCCCACACGTTAAGAACCTTTCAGCCCTTCATATAGTTCTGAAGAAGGGAATACCTACCAAGAATCTTTCTACCCAAGGAAGGGAAACAAGAATCTAACAAGTAATTCCTCTGAGGACCTCCCTCACTCCCCTCTCTACTGTAATTTATGGGCAAGAAGTTCAAATTCCTAGATGGATAATCTTACTCGCTGATTTTGGGGACCATATCCCCTTCTCCTTGAAGGTGCAGGATCCGAATGGAGAAGATGCTGTGACTAGAAGTTAAGAAAAAGAAGAGTCATTGCACATCTTCCATGACCAGATGGAGGACTAATGTTTCGTGGAACACAAAGGCTGGCTCTCACAGCCCACTCACCTGCGGCTGGAGTTCTGGTTCAGGTGTGTGCTGGCAAAGCTCTGGTTTTTACGACCCACTTTTAGAAGTTTCCAGGCTTCCTCAGCATCCTGAACATGAATCCAATTGAGATCTAAGGCCAACAGAGTGGGGTACATAAGGTGGGAATACCTAACTCTTTTCCTGGTCTCTCCCCAAGTCCTCTCCAGGGTTCATGCCAGACTCCCTGCTTTCCCATACCTTTCACATAAGGATTGCCATTCTGATCCTCACACAGCCGCAGAACCTGCCTCTTGCGCTGCTGACTAGGTGGTTCTAACAGGTCATAAAGCAGTTCATTGTAGATCTCAAAGAAGGAGATCCAGATGGAGAAGCGAGTATCTGCAGGGACACTTATTGGGGCAGTGTCTGGCTGTGCCCAGCGGTGACTTGTTTCTGGAGAAGAAGCAAATGTACAGGGTATCAACCCTAGAATAGCCCATCTCCCCCTTGGCCTGTGGGGTCCTTAGAAGTCAGAACTCAGGTTACAACTTCTGGTCTCTATCCCTGGCAGTT